TGCCCGCCGCCGCCGCCGTCCCCGCCCCGCGCTCCCGGCCGCGGGCAGGGGAAGGGACCCCGGTCACGCGCCGAGTCGCATCGCCAGCTATTCCGTGCACGCAATCCCGGTTTCACGAGCAGAAAGTCTCTCTCTCCGGCTTCGTACCCCCGCCTCCCTCTCGGGGGAAACTTGAGCGCGGGGGGGAGCATTTGCAGGCAGAAGCGGGGAGGGCCCCGCCGGGCCGCCGCCGCCGACAGACGCGGTGCTCCCAGCACATTGTAACGCGGTAAGGTACATGGGGGGGCGGGGTGGCTCGTGGCCAGCTGGAGCTGCTGGAAGCACTTCCCCGCCTCGGCTGTCCCCGTGGTCCTGGGGAAAGGGAGAGACAGGGCCAGATGCCACCGCCCTGCATCGTTTTATGGGATTTTGATGCGCGACCGGGAGTTTCAGAGCGAGGTGCGGTCAGGAGAAAGTAGCAGTTGATTTTCTTTATTATTTCTTTTTAGTGTGCCTCGGCATTTTCCTTCTGGTCGAAGAGGTTGGCACCGACTGCGGCCATCAGGGACTCCAGGAGGAGGGCGGGAGCCGCGCGAGGAGGCGGCCTGGTGCTTCGGCTGATGCCGATGCCTTGTCCAGCTCCGCCACGGGCTCGCTGTCCGGCGTGGGGCAAGTCGCTTCGTATCTCCCTAGCTGTAAAATGGGGAGAAGGATTCTTCCTCCTGGCTGTGGCTTGAAGTGAGATCCATTACCTACTTGAGCAAACTCCGCAGAGTGAGGGGGGCCTGCAGGCAAAGATCTCCTGCCTTGAAAGCACATGCCCCACTTACTGTCGCTGAGGAAATCTCTGCACTAGCTGCCAGTAGCACATGGCCTTGGACACACGTTTTGGCCGGTGTGCCACAAGTTAAGGCCTGCTCCCCATCCTTTCTCAGGTGCCATCCTCAGAGGCATAACTGAATGTGAGGGAGGCTCAAGCCTCTGGCTTCATGGAGCTAGGTTAACCTTTCCTTGGCCCTACGACCACTGCAGATTTATATGGAGGGGAACAAAAGCCCTGAATTCAATGATGGCTACAGAGCCAGGGAAGGGTTAACCTGGCCCTTGGCACTGACACCTCCTGCCCTCGCTCTGCTCCACTTGGCTGGAGGCTCAAAGCCCCCTGCCCCCATTCCAGCATCTCCTTTTACTGTGTGCCTGGGCCTCGTGTGCCACTTGAGGGACATGTGCTGTGCATTGGCCACCTGTGGCCCAAAGTGGATGACTGACTCTTTCCAGGAGCGGGCAGAGTGCATGAACACTTCCTATTTCATTATCAACTCTTTTTATCCCCGTCGCTCATGTACTTATGGTACGTGACTTTATTATTCACAGGCTTCGAGTCAGACTTTTGGAGACCAAATATTTGACATCATCCCTTGAAGAAGTGTTTAAATTGAGTTCTGAAGGTATGTTGTCTACATGCGCATAGGAAAGCTTGTAAAAGCAGTTTGAGCTATGCTGGTAGGTGTCTTTTCCTCTGAAATATGACAACTGATCCAAAACAAGTAAGAAGCGGTGCGATCAAAACAGGCCTCGAATAAAATTACAGACATGAATGTATCGGCAATGCATTTCCATAGCAGCGCGATGAACAATTGACCTCGTCAGAATTGCAGTTGACATGGTGATGCACTGAAACAACTGACCACATTGCTCACACTTGTACAAGCTACGTGTTAATGCACCAAACACATCCAGTGCTAGAGAGGAGGCATGCACTTACTGTGTAGATTCAACTTCATCAGCCTACGCGTTGTTGGTGTCTAGAAGCCTATTTACCAGCTCTTTAACTAGGAAGAACACTCCTTGCCATCTCCTTCCTCTCCTCCTCCCCACCCCTGTTCAGGATGGCACAGGGAGAAATCCTCCCAAGAAATTTCTGTTCAAATCAATCACTGTTGTGACCAAGGGCTGCTGAGTTTGGGGCCCTGTGGAATTACAGGTCTCCCTTGAGAGCCATGGGGTCTGATTCTCTACTCAATCCCAGAGGCCCTCAACCTGGAAGCAAGCACAGGGTTTTTCCTAAGGGGTCTACCATAGGCACAAGATGGAGCACCTGCCAGGTGGCTTGTCCAGTGGGCTTCAAAGGGTCTTGGGGTCTCTTCCCAGCTTTGCCACTGACTTGCTGGCTGGCCTTTTCACACCTCTCCATCTCGCATTACCTCCTTCACTAGGGTATTGCAAGGCTTAATTAAAAAGTAATGTTTGGGAAGCACTTTTGAGGTCCTTGAGTGAGAAGGGCCAAGGATTATTACTCTGAGTTTCAGATTGCTAGCTCCACTCTTGAATCAGAGTGCTGCAGGGCTGACCCCCATGCACCAAAGCAAATAAAGGTTTCCAGGGAAGGATTATTCCGGGCTGTGCTTTTAAAAACATTTAATACCACATTTAAGTCCCCATTCACCGCTGTCTGAGCCTGTCTACATTCAGCATACGCTAGGAAAAAAGAATTCTTCAAAGGTTTGATTTCTATTCAAGCTCGATACAGAGGCTTGCCAGGCCTTCCCTGATGGTGAACAGCACATCCTCTGGCACTGAATGCTCCAGGGGACCTATAGCCTCCAGAGGCTGCTTTGGGAGCTGAAGTCTTCTGCTTCACCACAGCACCAGCCAGAAGAGTGACGCCAGCACTCTGACGGCTACAGTGAACAGCTCACCTAGGACAGCCCACCCATTGCCCCAGTGCTTCCCAAACTTTTCTTCAGCATGACCCCATTTACGATCCCACTTCCTCAGCATGGCCCCTCACTCCCCCACCCACAGCTTTCTGCCCCCCAGCAGCACCCGAGCCCCAGGTGCCACCTGTGGGACGTGGCGGATGCTGCAGCTGGAGTGGAGCCTGGTTCCCTGTCCCCTCTCCATGGTGGTGAGGAGGATGCAGCTTGGGGCTCCCTGCCCTGCTGTCCGCGGGCATGGCCCAGTGGGCAGGACCTGGCCCAGAAGGTAGGGGGCACCGTGCTGCCATGCTGAGATGCACCCCCCTGCTCACCTGGCAGCAGTGTGGGCACAACTCTGCGCCACTGCCATCCCTCACCTTGGCAGCTGTGGTGGTGCAGCACTCCCTCCCGCAATAGGTCCCACGTGCTCGGCTGCAGAGGCAGCTTCTGCCCGGAGCTGGTGTAGCCCGGCTGCAGCCCTGCACCCTGCTGTGGGCACAGAAATCACAGGGGCCATGTTTATCGCAACTCCATCTACTGATGTTGTGACCCCATTTGGGGTCGCGACCCACAGTTTGGGAACCACTGCCTTATCCTGAAGGCTAGGATGGGGTAGAAATCCAGAAGGGCTGCTGGAGGGAGGAGAATCAATGCAGGCAGCAGAACTGATGTAGGATGTGCAGGATTCATTTGGAGGGTTTTTTAAGGGGGAAGGGGAAGAATTTATTGCTAGGTAGGAGATGGGTAAGGTGTGAGGGCAAGAGCTGCTGCCTCAGCAAAAGACCAAAATCACCATAGTCAGTAAGTCTGGGAGAGTGGGCAGCGTTAATTGTCACGCACAGAGGAGTTCAAACACTGGAAAAACAACCTATTTTTGAAAAAAGAAATCCCATGATTTTTGGCACGAATCTCATGATTTCCTCAGGCATGGGGGAGGTCCAACAATGGACTTTGATCTCTCAGTCTCTCTTGTCTTGGAACTCAGACATCCCAATAGGTTGCAAGGAGGTGGGAGGGGAAGAGTGATGTTAGATGGCAATTTAACCTAGCCAGGACCTTAGATCACAAAGAAGGAATGTTGTTGTGGATAGGCTTAGCGCTCAGGGTGGGGATGACTCATGCTGGACAACATACAGCTGTTGGAACGTGATTTGGCACCGGCTTTCAGAGGCAGAACAACCTTCCCTGCTCGCAGGAATTGGGAGCAAAACCTCGGTGAAGCAGCCCCTCCGAGGTGCCAGTGCTGGTCCTGGCAGAGGTCTCTGCTGAACTGCCCCAGATGCTGCTGCACTGACCGTAGCTGCATGTGCTGCTCCACCAAGCCACTTCTGGAGCACTGAGGCAGGTGGTGTCCTGCTGTCTCCTGTCTGATGGGTGTTGGCAGACCCAGACAGAAGCATGGGCGAACCAGGCAGCTGGACAGAAAAGGGGGCTGAAAATGGGAAAAAAAATTACAATTGCATAAAAATGTTTTAACATTGTGCACATATGGGACTGGCAAATGGCAGCATTAGCAATTGAGAACGAACTATTTAAAGACATCAATACCACAGATGTGATAAAAACTTTTGCAACAACAAAAATCATTATCTCTGGCAAAGGAGGGCCCAATATTAAAAGTTCGCCTGGGGCTGCCAGGAGTCTAGATACGGCACTGGGTGTTGGGGTTGTCTGCCTACCTCCTGAGCAGCCCTGACTGGCTACCTGGGGTTGAAGCAGCTAGTCAGAGGGGCCTGCTCCCAGGGAGGCCTAAAATTCTCCAAGAGGGTTGGAGGCAAGAGGATCTCAGCCTGGCTTGCAACCACTCAGGAGCAGGCCTGCAAACCACCTGAACCACGCATGCATCTTTGTCAGACTCTCTATTTGGGCTCATTGGTAAATAAATTGATCCCCAGGAATGTGTCCTTAAGAGCAGATTTCCTGATCTGTAGGCTCTGAGACATCCCACAAATTAAAAAAAAAAATTAAAAAAAGAGGTGCTCACCAGATACGGATATCCTGCAGATCACACTGAGGAACAGCTGGCAAGAAGGGACTGACCAGTAGGACAGGTCAGGGCTGTGTGTGGGAGGGAGGTCAGGGTACCTGTGATGGAGAGCTGGCTGCTCAGAAGGGGGCAAGAGAGGATATGGGTGTGATGGTTGTGGCTGCTGGGAGGAGAGGGGAGGGGAGGGGCGGCAAGTCATGGGGAGCCTGGCTAATGCCTTACACCCCAGTTGTCCTTGATATGGGGGAGCTGGACTCTTGTTAGGACAGGAGCCAAAGAGTGCAGGGAGAGGAGCTACTTGGGACTTTCATTTCTTCCCCTTCATCCAAGTCACTGCAACAGCCTGCAGCAGTGAGTCACTCCACAGTCCCCAACAGATCTGAGAGTGCTTGTATAACCATTAAGGAGACACTGCAGCCTGTTACATAACATAAAGCAGGCAACAATCACCATCCCCACTATGCAGATGGGGAAACCAAGGCACAGAAAAGGGCTGTGACTTGTTCACAGTCATGCAACTACACAATGGCAGAAGCAGAACTAGTCCCAGCAAGTTACTTGTTAAACCGCAGTGACCTTGAGTTACTCTAGCCTGTGGCCACAGGTTCCCCATTTATGAGAGAAGACGGGAGCAGTTTGTGGTCATGAGGGATCCTTGTGGATGAACAGACAGGCAAACCCACTGTTCTGGACTGTTAGAAGTCTGCACAGCACAAGCAGTGTGCAAATCTAGTTCTTGTTTAGGCACCTAACTGGGAACTGAACATCCCTGAGCGTCCAGCCTCCGCAGATCCTGTCCAAATTCCAACTGGGTCATCATATCCTACACGCCTAAATTCCCCTCACAATTTTACTTGCATCCAGGACCCTTTGTTCCTTCGTGTTCTGTACTGCTGCTGCAGAAGTTGTACGACTGCCACATTCTGCCCCAGAGGCAAGACCATTTCAGTAGTAAATAAAGCAATCTCTGTATAAGTAGATTTTTTACTAAATTCTGTTTGCATGAGTTACTCTGCAAGTGCAAAATTACCATCTTTATGTCACTGGAAAGAGTAATTAACTTTAGCTTTTCAACAAGGTCTTAGAAAGGACCTGAACTTGAAGTTTGCAAATATTAATGGTCTCTATATATAGGAAGAAACTTATTATAAATGAATAAGCTTAACCAACCTGTCAACAATTTTAGAAGATGACTTCTGCCGATTTGACTTTATTATTTTTTAAAGTAAAGACAGGATACTCTTCTGGCAATTTAGAAGCCTATTTCTCAAAGCCTTACTTATATTGGACTTGATCCACTGCTGCCTTTCACCTTCTGGTACAATTTACACCGTGGCGAAGTAGTTGTGAAATGCTACCAATCTCATTTATGGATCTGATTATCCACTTCTTGGTAAAGTAATACTTATTCGTGCAAAGAGGCCTATTCATTTCTAAGCATTGTTCAATGCGAAGGTTGCAGATTGGGCTCTCGCAACAAGCAAAAAGACAGGACCTCCGGTTTAAAGGGGCTTCATTGAGTTACGTACAGCTAAATTTTGGCTCTCAGCTAACAAGATTTTGTACACGTTAAAGTCAACAGAAACTATTTTAGATGGTAACATTACCCTCCTGCATTTGCAACACTCACATTGCAGCATCCTGCTAGAGGAAAAGAACCAGAGAGTGAAACTAGCTGCAACGCCAGATTAAATTGACCAGTTAAGTGAACCGCAAAGAGCATCAATGCTAGCAAAAAGAAATGGCTTTGATATTTAAAGTTTTCAGTACTGGCAATGTGGGATGGGGAGCCAAAGGAGGAAATCTGCATTTAAGCAGTTCTTAATTTCACCCCATGTCTCTTTAGATGTATGGTACACTCTGAACTGATTACACATCTGCAGGGAATCAGCAAGTGCCAGAGTTAATTCCCACTGAGCACCTACCCACCTCCTCCAAGGATAGCTCACAATGGGAATTAGTGTCCTACTTGTCCTACAGGGAATTTTTTGCACTGGAATGGATACATCTGGCTCTGTGGATTCTGCCTTACAGGGGCATCACAGTCTCAGAGCTTAATTCACTTGGTCACGAGGAGGATCAGGGTATGGCTCCTAATCTCCTCAGACCCACAAGCAGTATCAGCACTTTCAGTCCCTAGCAGAAAGGACTCGTCACACTGTCCACTGAACTCCATCCTGCTCACTACCAGGCTTTGTAAGGGTTGAGGAGGGAAGTGCTGGACTCCTTTGCATGAGAATATAACTGGAAAATAAGCCAGGGTTTAAATTTAGAGCTCGCTAACTACTCTGTACTAACTCTTCATGCTCACAGGCCGCCTGGCAAAAACTGGGCACTAAAAAGCATCCGCACAGGGTGATACAGCAAAGCATCCAGCCAGCTGTAAATGTACACCATTGTTTACTCTACATTACAGCAATTTCCCTTGGTAGGCAAACTTGGTAAAGGACTCCAGCAGCAATTATCTCTCTCTCATTTAGCTAGAATTTTAGGTTGGCCTGCAGAGGTTCTTGTTGAGAACAGATTAAAAGACAGCACCAGCGAAGGGTCACCCTAAAAAAAACCCTTCATTCAAATCTCCCAGCACATTGTCTCCAGATTTATATATTCAGAGAGTGCCAAGGGACCCCAGGACTCCATTGTATTGGAGCTGCAGCAATATGCACACTCTTTGCTTTAGAGCAGGTGGGAAATTTTGCTCATGAAATAGGTTTCCCCATCAGAAAATGTGATTAGAAAAATGGAAGTGTAACTAGAGTTACCACGGTTTTGAACACAGCGCCAATACCTGTGGCAAATATTTCATATTTCATAGACATTAGGGCTGGAAGGGATCTTAAAGATCATCAAGTCCAGCCCTCTGCCCCAGGGGTAGGAAGTCAGCTGGGGTCAAAGGGTCCCAGCAAGATAAGCATCCAAACGTTTCTTGAATGAGTCTAGAGTAGGTGCCTGCACCACTGCTGGAGGGAGTCTATTCCAGGTCTTGGGGGCTCGGACAATAAAGAAACTTTTCCATATGTCCAGCCTGAAACGGTCTTGTAGGAGTTTATGACCATTGGTCCTTGTTTTTCCTTGGGACGCTCTGGTGAACAGATGGTCTCCCAGATCCTGATGCACACCCCTTCTGTACTTATAAGCAGCTACCAGGTCCCCGCTGAGCCTGCGCTTTTCCAGGCTGAAGAGTCCCATGGCTCTCAGCCTCTCTTCATAAGGCCTATTCTCTTGCCCTCTGATCATACACATGGCTCTCCTCTGGACTCTCTCAAGCTTCTCCACATCCTTCTTGAATTGTGGAGCCCAGAATTGAATGCAGTACTTCAGCTGCGGCCTCACCAAGGCTGAGTACAGCAGGATGACATCCTGAGATTTACTTGAGAAGCATCTATGGATGCAAGCCAGAGTTTTGTTTGCTTTACCAGCTGTGACATTGCATTGGTGGCTCATGTTCATCTTGTGGTCAATCATGACCCCCAAGACTCTTTCAGCCGTGGTGCTAGCAAGTGTAGCACAGCCGAGCCTATAAGCCAGCTGCGGGTTTTTTTCCCCGAGGTGGAGTACCTTGCATTTCTCAATATTGAACATCATTAAGTTTGCGTCCACCCACTTACTAAGTTTATCCAAGTCAGCCTGAATCACTAGCCTAAAGAAATGTGTGTGTTCTTTAGTATACACCTAAAGAATTCAAACTGAATCCTTCTCAGATTGCACTCTTATAGCCGACCTTATTAGTGACAGACAAGATGATATTACTGCCATGGAAAGTAGGACATCTCCAAAGGTCGAAATCTGATATGATGAGATGGTGCAGCTTGTGTCTATGGAGAGAGTCATGTTCAGCCGGCTTAACCACTCTGAAAAGTTTGATGCGATTTGGAATGAGTTCTCAGAATATTTTGGTAACTAAATTATTACTCCTGGCACGCTTCCCTTTTCTTAGTCTATCCCTCCCTCTTCCCTCCTGCATTTTTTTTTCTTTTCCCCTTTATTACTTATTGTTTGTGACAGGCATGAACATTGTTAAGGTTGACGTGTATATTACATATTTCTGATTTTTGTGTTGCTTTAAAAAAAATCAATAAAAATCATAAAAGAAAGAATATACAAGTGTTTTGCAGGAATGAAAATTCTGACTAAATCAATACAGCAAGAAGCTGTCTAAATGTTTTGCCTTGACAACTTTTATGCTATCAGCTTAAAAAAAATGTTGAAGTGGAGCACTTCAATAAGTTGGAAAAGAAATATTTTGAAATATTTCATTCCATACCATTCCAAAATTGACTTCTCACTCCAATTCAGAACAGGGCCACAGCTCAACATCTCAGCCTTTCCC